GGCTTTTTTTGTGTGGGGGGGGGGGGGGGGTTGGGGGGGTGTTTTTGGTTTGTTTTCTTTTGGCTCAACACCTTTTATGTCGGTGTCGGTGGCCTAGTGGTTAGTCTCTCAGACTCGCAACCGTAAGGTCGTGGGTTCGAATCCCGTCAGGGGCCCGACGTTGTGTCCTTGGGAAAGGCACTTTGCACGAGTTTTCCTCACTTCACCCAGGTGGGAATGGGTACCCGGCTATAGACAGCGAAAGATCTTGTCAGTTTGTTAGTGTTCGAGCGCTTAATCAGCTGCTTGCACTGTATGCTTCCCGGGAAGCTGAGAATGTTTCGGAGTATTCTGTGGTTTGCTGGGGCAATAATAAAGTGTAAAGCGCATAGAGCCTGCAGTTGAGCGGGGATATGCGCTATACAAATGCTATTTATTATTATTATTATTATTATTATTATTATTATTATTATTATTATTATTATTATCATTATTATTATTATTATTATTATTATTATTATTATTATTATTATTATTATTATTATTATTATTATTATTATTATTATGTTCATTTAAAACACATGTTTGTGTGGATTTTACTGAAAAACATTGATTAAAAAGGCACACACAAAATGACAACTTTCAATTTTCCAGGACTCTCAGGCTATGGAAGTTACCAAACTTTGGCGGCCATTTTCCCGCTGATTTTACCTCTCAGACCAGGCGAACCTGGCCTCCTTCAATCGCAAATATTTCGACTTCTATTCAACATAGATATTTTTCCACGAAAAGAAAGGCAAATAAACAGGCTTTAAGATGATGGGTTACCAATAACTCCCTATATGCCCAAAAATTGACGAACGCCTGATTCCACCACGTCATGACACATTTTAGTTTAAGAAAGGGAGGTCAGAATTTACTTTAACAGTTCGTTCTGTTGTTGTTGTTGTTGCTGCTGCTGCTGTTGTTGTTGCTGCTGCTGCTGTTGTTGTTGTTGTTGTTTTGTTGTTGTTGTTGTTGTTGTTGTTGTTGTTGTTGTTGTTGTTGTTGTTACGGCTGCTGCTGCTGCTGCAGCTATGGTTGTTTTTGTTTTTGTTGTTGTTGTTGTTGTTGTTGTTGTTGTTGTTGTTGTTGTTGTTGTTGTTGATATAATTTTTTCCCCATACCAAAGCCCTGCCCTCTCTGCCCACAGACACATACATTACTCAGCGAGTAACCAAGCTCCCTGCTCACACGTGCTCGCGCTCACTCACCCTCCAGCCAACATGCAGCGGGCGATCTCGGTGACTTTTCTAGCGGCGCTGCTGTCGCTGAGTCTGGTATCCATTGCACTGGCCGAAGTGGACCTTGAGCCTAAGGACAAGACGTTCTGTATTGGCGTCAAGTGTCTCACCGTGGCCCAGATGCGCTGCAAGGACTGGACGATGGGCGTCTGCTGCCCCATGTGTCTGCTGGGTGAGTCTTGATCGTGGGTCACGTACCCGGAGGTGTGAGTTCCATTCCCGGTTCTTATTTTATTTTATTTTTGAATATATTTTTAGGTAGAGTTTTTACGGCACTCGCAACTGTATAAGGTCATGTATGAGCGCCAAGGGGTGGATGTCAACAGAGAAGTCCTTACATGGAATCAGGCTTACTCTGCTCTTGTTTTGTTTTGGGGGAGCCGGTTGGTTGGTTTGTTTGGGTTTTGTTGTTGTTGTTGCTGTTGTTGTTGTTGTTGTTGTTGTTGTTGTTGTTGTTGTTGTTGCTGTTGTTGCTGCTGCTGTTGTTGTTGTTGTTGTTGCTGTTGTTGATGTTGCTATTGTTGTTGTTGTTGTTGTTGTTGTTGTTGTTGTTGTTGTTGCTGTTGTTGTTGTTGTTGTTGTTGTTGTTGCTGTTGTTGTTGTTGTTTGGGAAGGTGTTTTGCTTTGTTCTGTGTTGTTTGTTCGGGGGTTTGTTAATTTTAAAATGTTTGCTTATTTTCTTTCTTTCCCCCGACAGACGAAGAAGACAGATGCGTGTCGCCGTTCAAAGAGATGCCGACGTTGGCGAGGAAGTGCAAGGAGGGACTACGTTGTCACAAGAAAAGTGGACGCTGTGTCAAGGACCAGTACTAACGACATTCCAGGACCGAGGGGAGGAACAGGTGGGGATGAATACATCTACATCTACATAATTATAGATTGTTCTTCTTTGTAAGAGAGATCAAATCTTTTGATTCATTCAAATGTTAGCGGAAGTCGCTTCTGTTTTTAAATTAATAAGATGAATATTATTATCTGAAGTGATTTTCTTTTCGTCACAACACACAACGTTTTATGTTACTGATGTACGTTGTACTGTATTTTAAAACGCTCAGAGCCTGTGTACTTTAATCGGGATTGGACGCTATGTAAATGTCATTTATTATTATTATTATTATTATTATTATTATTATTATTATTATTATTATTATTATTATTATTATTTGTCGGAACGAATGTGAGGTTTTCGCTTGTTTGTTGCTGTTGGTGGTGGTGATGGTGGGGGTGTTGTTGCTGTTGTTGTTGTTGTTGTTGTTGTTGTTGTTGTTGTTGTTGTTGTTTTTTGACGTTGTTGTTGTTGATATGTGTAATTGTTCTTCTTTGTCGGAACGACCTTGAGAAACACAAAAAATAGCTTAATTTATAGGTTTTGTCTTAGACACAGAAGATCTAAGGGAAATAATAAAAATAAAAGGAAAAATGTCGATAAATTTGAGAGCTACTTCCCCGTATTCATAATGTATGGCGTCGATCTCCTATTTTACAGCTCCAAGTACACGCTCGTATGAATGGCTTTTCTGGTGGACTTTGTGTGTTGGACCCTATAAGACAATATACGCCCTACTACTGGACCATAAACATTTCCTTCTGGAAGGGAGACCTCTCAGATTCCACTTGAATGTATCGGGTTGAGAGGAACTTGATGAACTTCTGATCTAAAAGTGCCGTAAGGGAACGTACTGGCCCTCTCAGATTCAGACCACGAACTTTTCGCCAGTTGAGAGGCACAGTCGATGATACCCATCAAGTCTTTAACTTTCTAGGATATGTAGTGGGGGCTTTAATAAATATTCAGAATCGTTCACAACCAAAACCTTATTTATATCTTAAATAACCCCTTTTCTCCGCCCCCCCCCCTCTTTTCCCTTC